GAATTACAGGCACAGACAATTTACTGATTTGGTTGGAGCGAGTGTGTGTGTGTGTGTGTGTGTGTGTGTGTGTGTGTGTGTGTGTGTGAGTGTGTGTGTGTGAGTGTCTGTGTGTGTGTGTGTGTGTGTGTGTGTGTGTGTGTGAGTGTGTGTGTGTGTTAGCCGCAGGGGTTCTGGAATCAGAGATGGAAACAAAAAACAGACAAACACAGATTGGTCATCATCTCTCAGCGGGAGAAAGTGATCCCTACTGATGATGTGTGTGTGTGTGTGTGTTCAGACCTTCTCCTGCATAAAAGTGCACTGAACCTGTGTGTGTGTGTGTGTGTTGTCCCTCGTCGGGGGTGGACCGGCGCCTGAAGTCGAACAGCTCTGTACTTCCAGGAACCTGTTATTAAACAGGAGGTGATGCTCTGCCAGAGGAACGTGCTGCCATGAAAAACGTTACCAGACATTGTGCAGATATTTCTCTGAGTTTCTTCACCAAACATCAGCCACATTTCAAACATAACAAAATCAACAGCTTGTCAGTCGTTTTCTTAACTGGGTCTGATTTTTCTGCCTTGAGATGTTCTTTTAATGGGAAAATGAAACTCATTTTAAGGCATTTGGCTACTCAGAGTTGGTTGTTTAATGACTATTTGTATCTTGTAAGAAAACAAAAGGCTTGTGCTTCTTTACTGTTTGTTCTGGCTTCCAGTTTTTGGTTTGTTGCGTTGATGTTTGTGTTTGTGTTTGTGTCTTCAGTTCCACGGAGGTGGACGATATGATCCGCAAGTCGACCAATCTGTTGTTGACCAGAACCCTCAGCCACTGTCTGCAGTACGCCATCAAAAAGAAGAATGTGGGCCTGGCGGAGGTAAAATAAACTCTTGTGTCACCAGATGTGTTACAATCTTTTTATTTTTTTCAGCATTTTAAATTACTTCCATGCCTCAGACATGTTGTGTCATTGTGTTAGGTTTACAGCAGCCGTGTTGCAGCAATCAATAGAAATGCTTCAATACAGACCCTGATCTGACACTTGAGATCAGTCCAACATTCCCCCAATTTTCATGCAAACATTTTTATGTAAAACTAACTGTCAAAGTTACAATCTAACCTTAGAGTAGTTCTCAATCCTGGTCCTTAAGGACCCCTATCCTGCATGTTTTAGTTGTTTCCCTGTTTGTCAGTAAGTCTCTCGGATCTGCAGAAGCCTGTCAATCACTATTTAATTTAAATCAGGTGTGCCAAAGCAGGGAAACTATTCAATCATGCAGGATAGTGGTCCTTGAGAGCCAGGACTAAGAACCTCTCCCCTAGAAAACCGATCCTAAAGAACTCTGCAAAGCTACAAGCTAATCTTGGCAAAACTACAAGCTAACTTTGGCAAAGCTTCAAGCTAACTCTGGCAAAGCTTCAAGATAACTCTGGCAAAGCTTCAAGCTAACTCTGGTAAAGCTTCAAGCTAACTCTGGCAAAGCTTCAAGCTAACTCTGGCAAAGCTTCAAGCTAACTCTGGCAAAGCTTCAAGCTAAATCTGGCAAAGCTTCAAGCTAAATCTGGCGAAACTTCAAGCTAAATCTGGCGAAGCTTCAAGCTAACTCTGGCGAAGCTTCAAGATAACTCTGGCGAGCCCACAAGCTAACTCTGGCGAAGCTTCAAGCTAACTCTGGCGAGCCCACAAGCTAACTTTGGCGAGCCCACAAGCTAACTCTGGCGAGCCCACAAGCTAACTCTGGCGAGCCCACAAGCTCACTCTATCAAACACACAAGCTAACTCTGGAGAAGCTGCAAGCTAACCTATGTGAACCTAAAGCTAACTCTGGAGAAGCTGCAAGCTAACAGTTATCCTAACTTTGGTAAATATCATCTACCTTGCCGGTTGGGCTGGTTTCTCCGGCTTCGCATTTTGTCAGATTTTTATGATAAGTTGGAGACCATACAGGAAAAATATATTTCAACTTGTAAAGTTCCAGCC